GGGACCCAAAACTTAGTGAATCCTATATATAATGACAAATACAAATCCCAGCGGTGATAAAATACAACCAAAAGAAAGCTTTATTTGTGTGGAAAAAATTGTATAAATTTAATTTTTGTACAGAGTTTCATAACTGCACAATTGTCAGTTAAAGTAACACAGTTCTGAATAGAAAAAAAAAAAAAAACCCTAGTCATGAAGGGGGTAAAACCTTCTGGAGCTTAAGTGTGTATCGGTGTTGTATGGCGTATGGCGTATTGTTTATCGGTGTCGTATGGCGTATACAGGACAGTGCTATTGTTTATCGGTGTCGTATGGCGTATACAGGGCAGTGCTATTGCGTATGGCGTATGCAGTGTATTGTATGGTGTCGTATGGCGTATACAGGGCAGTGCTATTGCGTTTATCGGTGTCGTATGGTGAATGCAGGCAGTGCTATTGCGTATCGGTGTCGTATGGCGTATACAGGGCAGTGCTATTGCGTATCGGTGTCGCGTGGCATATGCAGGGCAGTGCTATGCGTATCGGTGTCGTATAGCGTATACAGGGCAGTGCTATTGCGTATCGGTGTCGTATGGTGAATGCAGGGCAGTGCTATTGCGTATCGGTGTCGTATGGCGTATACAGGGCAGTGCTATTGCGTATCGGTGTCGTATGGCGCAATGCAGGGCAGTGCTATTGCGTATTGTGCGTATCGGTGCTATTGCGTATCGTGTCGTATGGCGTATGCAGGCAGTGCTATTGCGTATCGGTGTCGCATGGCGTATACAGGGCAGTGCTATTGCGTATCGGTGTCGTATGGCGAATGCAGGGCAGTGCTATTGCGTATCGGTGTCGTATGGCGTATCGGTGTCGTATGGCATGCAGGGCAGTGCTATTGCGTATCGGTGTCGTATGGCGTATACAGGGCAGTGCTATTGCGTGGTGTCGTATGGCGAATGCAGGGCAGTATTGCGTATCGGTGTCGTATGGCGTATACAGGGCAGTGCTATTGCGTATCGGTGTCGTATGGCGAATGCAGGGCAGTGCTATTGCGTATCGGTGTCGTATGGCGAATGCAGGGCAGTGCTATTGCGTATCGGTGTCGTATGGCGTATACAGGGCAGTGCTATTGCGTATCGGTGTCGTATACAGGCGTATGCAGGGCAGTGCTATTGTGTATTGGTCAGGGGCGGACTGACAACTCATGGGGCCCCCGGGCAATAGGGGATCATGGGGCCCTGTGTTTTTACCCAAACTCATAAAAGCCTATGAAAAAGGTACCAGGGGCATCTCATGAGGCCCCCTACTGACCCCGGGCCCTCGGGCAGTGCCCGAGTTTCCCAATGGTCAGTCCGCCCCTGGTATCGGTGTTGTATGGTGTATGCAGGGCATTGTTATTGTGTATAGGAGTTATATGGTGTATGCAGGGCATTGCTACTGTGTATTTGTGTGTGTTGTACGTTGCATACACAGCATTGTTATTGTGTCTCTGTGTGTAGTAAAGAGTATAGAGAGCAATGCTTCTGTGTGTGTTGTACTGTTCATACAAAGCAATGTTGTCTTGTATCTGTGTGTTTGCCTTCAGCTGCCTTCTATCCTGCCTTCGGCTAACAATGGAATCTTCTATTTCTCCCATCAGTTCATCCCCCACAGATATTACCTTTTGTACCACCAGCCCCTCCCTATTAGATTGTAAGCTCCAAGGATCAGGCCCTCCTAACCCTCTTGTATTGAACTGTATTGTTGCTGTATTGTCTCCTGTTATATTGTAAAGCGCTGAGCAAACTGTTGGCGCTATATAAATCCTGTGTAATAACAATAATAATAATAAAACTAATGATGTATACAGTGCAGCTTTATTATATATCATTGTGTCTGTATAGTGTACAGATCAGTGTTATTGTGTGTCAATGTGTGTTGTATGGTGTTTACAAAACAGTTATTGTGTATCAGTGTGTGTGTTGTATGGTGTTTACATATCAATGTTACTGTGTATCGTCTTTTGTTGTACAATGTATACAGAGCATTGTTATTGTGTCTTTGTGCCTGTTGTATGGTGTATACAAAACAGTTGTGTATCTGTGTGGACTATCATGGTCTCCTCCAGAGGGTAGAACTGTCTTCTGGAGGGGAGGGGGCTCTCAGTCGACTGTCAGAGTTGGGTGGATGCAGTAGGCTGGGTGTCAGTATGGGGTGGAGGCGGTGGGTTGAGCTTTCAGCTGGGTGTCAGTATGGGGTGGAGGCGGTGGGTTGAGCTTTCAGCTGGGTGTCAGTATGGGGTGGAGGCGGTGGGTTGGCTCTGCTCTGGCTGCAGTGTTCAGGAAGTGAATTGCTGGGATTTGATCTGCACAAATGAACCTGGAATAAGGAGGCCTTTGTGTATACAGTATACAGAGAGGGTATGTACTATCACCTTTATTTTTGTCTTTTCAGCTGCAGAGGAACTGCAAATTCCAGCAGAACCTGTGTTTGTTCTATAATATATTTGAAGGGGAGCGGGGGATTTAATCATATTGATGGTGCAATTGATACCAAAATGATCTCTGTCACATCGTAGGACTCCACAAGCTCTGCCAAGCATATTTGGGCTGATTCTGAGTTTTTATATAGAAAAACGTAGAAGTGTGACGGCAGAAACAGACAGCGCGGAGAATCTTCCCTTTTATAAAACCATTTACAGCTAAATAAATTAACCTTCAGGATCCTCAAGTAGGAGATTTTAGGGGCAGAATCGCTGTACATATTTTACATTGAATACTGGGAACTGTCATAATAAAGCCAAAAATAGCAACAAACACAATATAAAAGGAAGTTCTATAATAATATAAATACATTCTTATTATATGGGCAGGTATGTGCTCTCATGCCTAGGTTCACCCATGTGAACAATATGTTATTATAAGATTAGCTATTTGAATTCTTGTTTTAGCTTTTCTGGTCTTTCAAGCTTCAGCTGCACAGGGTGTAACTCACAGCTGGGAGTGACTCGGTTACAATGTGTCACCCTTTTTTTTTCGGATCAGTTGGTACTTTCTCTATGTATAACACTCAGCAGTAACCAATAGATCAGGAGATGAACCAAACAGCAGCTACTCAATGCATCTATTAGCAAGGAATTGTGGGAAATACTAACAGGGTAATCACCTTACGGGATTGCTAGGTGGATACCAGCTCTGTGTGTGTGATCTGAGTATTATGGAAAGGATTAAAAAGGTAAGTGCTCTTAAGATGCAGCAGCATGTCTCCCCACTTTCTGGAATGGGAAAAGAAGGAAATATTGGGGGGATTTACTAAAACTGGAGAGTGTAAAATCTGCTGTAGCTCTGCAATGAAACCAATCAGCTTCCAGGTTTTATTGTTAAAGCTTAATTAAGCAAGCTGATTTTAGAAGCTGATTGGCTACCATCAGGACTGCTGTTACAAACCACAGTGCCCCTTACAGCTAACCTGACAGGGTCCCCCTCCCCCCCCAAAAAAAAAACAACAGTTGACTATGCATACTATGCTTTAGTTATGAATGAACACGGTGAGTGATCAGTACCGATCACTCGGTGTAAATTCAGGAAAGGAAGGGGCTGGTGAATGTGACATGTTTACAGGATTCTGAAGGATCCTTTTGTGTGCTTACAGCTGCCATTGTAAAGGAGAGGAGGGAAGCCGGCAGCACTGTGGGGGCACAGAGGAGCCCTGGGCAGCAGGGGGGAACATATGGTGTACAGGGAGGGTGATGGGTGTGGTAGGGGGTATTACTGGAACCGATCCCCTGTATGGCTCTCTCTGCAGCAGCTGAAAGCTAGAGAAGAAGTCAACTTTTAGCTGCTGCACAGAGAGACATACAGGGGATCGGTTCCAGTAATTGCCCCCCCCCCCACCACATCAATCACCCACTCTGCCCACATCCAATTCACTGCCTGGGTCCCTCTGCTGGCCTGGGCCCCGTACAGAAGGACTGATGGTACCCCCTTATCCACGGCCCTGGCTACCATGCACAGCTGCACCAGATTCTAAGTGCTCTAGTTTTAGTAAATCCCCCCCCCCCCCCTGCAGTACTAAGTATGTAGGCAGAGGACGCAACCCTTCCACACCCCCAGTTATGCAAACCGCGAAGAGTTAATATTCAAAGCATTTACTGCATAAACCTACATGTTGATTTTTTTTTTTTTTCAACATTGCTTGTCCTTTTTTACTGGCTTTTCAAACTAATAAATTAAATAGTTTAGAGGCTGGATGAAGAATAACACTATTGGTAATTATTTTTCTATAGTGGTCCATACATCAGACGAAAAAGAGGGACAACTGATGAAGAAGGGACAGAGGGATTTGGTTCCAGAATCATCTTTGGGCTGCCTTAATCATATGAAGGCTTACAGCTGAAAAGTAGTAACAGTTTTTAACGGGGCATCCACCTGTAAGTGATATTTAGGTATAGGTGGAGCCTGGTAGGCTGAATCGACCCCTGGTGTCTTAGATACGCCAACACTGAGGTTTCCCTTCTATAATTCCCAGCTCTGTTCTGTCCACCTGTGAATTTTGGATGTTCCTGCCCACCATTGTCTCATCCAACTCCCCCTGTTACATTCTCCACAATATACAATAAATTAAAAAAATCCAGCAGGGATGGTGAAGCCCTTTATAATGGCCACAGCTGGTGTGCAGAGCTGGAATGATGGGAATTCTTCATAATGGGCACAGCAGATGTGCAGACCTGGGAATTCAGCACAGGGATGGTGGGAACCACTCATAATGGGCACAGCCGATGTGCAGACCTGGGAATCAGCACAGGGATGGTGGGAACCCCGCATAATGGACACAGCAAGTATGCAGAGCTGGTAACTTAGCATTGGGGTGTTGGAAACCTTTCATACTGGGCACTGCAGGTGTGCAGATCAGTGAGTTTGGCACAGAGATTTCACCAAGAGTTAAATATGATTTTGGAAGAACTGAGCCTTTGAACTTGAGCTGACTTGTTTTATTTTGGAGCAGGTGTGTGATGTCCTCCACAAGAAGAGGTGGGTGGAATGTCCTCAGTGGAAACGGTGCAGATCCTCCTGGGATCCAGATGTTACCTAGTTCCCCGCGACCAGCTGGTGGCTCAAAGTGGCTTTTTTCAAGCTCTTTTCCGCTCAGGGATGAGGGAGAGTACCGGTGAGGTGGTGACTTTGCATGGGCTTACCCATGAAGGGCTCGAAGGTGTTCTGCGTCACATCACAGGAGGACCAGTGCAGGCGTGCAGCCCTGCAGAAGAAGTGAAGTGTGGACTCAAGGCACTAACCAGCGAACATTCTTCAGGGCAAGATGAGCCAAGTTTTGTCCAGGAGGACTTTTCCCAGGGCCCGCTGCAGGCATTGGTGGAAGCCGCCTGTTACTTGCAAGTTCAGGGCCTGTTGTCTCTTTTGCAGTCCTCGTTGTCAGTGGACACCTGCCTGGACCTACTGGACGTGTCACACAGCTCCATGGCCAGTGGGATCTGGCCACAGCCTGCTTCAGCTACATGGCTGCTCACTACCACTGTATGCTGCAGAGAGCGGACTTTCAGGAGAGCCCTGAATCTCTCAAAGAGCAAGTCATCCAGGAGCGTCTGCGAGGTGTGCCATCACTGCTGCTTTTGTCACAGCAGGGAGCTGATTCTTGGGTGCTCCTGCGATACCTGGAGGTCGGAGGAGGGTGGCAGGTCATGCCCAGTGACGTTCCACAGAGCATGCTGCGGGTGCAGAGCTATGGAGCAGCCTCACTCAACAACTATCTCTTTGTGGCCGGAGGGACCCGTGAGAATGGACAGGAGGTGAGCGCTGTCCACTCCTATAACCCGAGCACTGGATTCTGGAGTGAAGAACCTGCCATGAACCAGAAAAGGTACCCTCTCATCAAATTCCTTAAAGGTTCCATTTAACAAAAACTGGTATTTCAGTTTTCAGTGGGTGTGGCAGGGTCTTATCTTCCACTAGCTTCTTATACCTCTCAGGAACTAGATGGAAACAAATGAGCATCTAAAGTTGGCCATTGATGGATCGAAAATATGCTAGATCAACAGGGACCGATCCATCAATGGCCTTTCCCGCTCAAGTGACGTTAGTTTAATGTTGGAACGTTATCATTCCATCAGCACCTATAGCTATTCAGCTGCAGAGCTGATTAGTGTATACTGACAGCGGAGGGGTCGTCGCTGTTGGACTACAGTAGCACAGGGGGGAAGATACCTTGAATCCTCTGATTATAACAAAATAAACAATCCATGTAAAGCCAGCCTCAGTTCCCATGGCCTGTTGTGGACAAGGTCTCACCACTTGCTGCAAGATCTTCCATTTACTTTATGTTAGAGACTGTATCAGAAGGAGTGACACATCCTCACTTTGCTTTGTACTGACCATAGAGGGCAGAGCAATATAAGAGGCCAGTGGTTAATTCACACAACTGGCTCAGCTGAGGACTTAAAGAATATACTTAAAGTGACGGAAAAAGTTTTTACTCTAATGCATTCTCAGCATTAAGGTAAAAAAACCTTTCAAAAATGTATTCCCCCAGCAACCCCCTTAAACACCTGAGCCCAATTTTGATTCAGCGCTGTCCCGTCATCAGTAGCTCTTTTCCATCTTTCTCTTCTCACAGGAGATTGGCAGCAGGGGAGACATTGGCTCCTGCCAATCAAATCATATGAGCAAAGAGCGGGAGGCGGGGCTAAGCCATGCTGTATGTGTTAATAGACGCACCCAGCCTGGCTGGGGATCGACTCCGGACGAGTGCCCCCATAGCAAGCAACACTCGGAGAAGAGGAAGAGCCAAGACTGCCGGCAGGGGACCCCAGAAGTGGAGGTTCAGGGCTGCTCTGTGCAAAACCATTACACACAGAAAGTAAGTATGACATGATTGTTGTTAAAAATAAACTTTTAAAATCATGTAGCACACCCTTGGGTGGAACTTGGCTAGATATATAGGTTCAACTCCCACCTGAATCTGGTGACACCTCCGATTATACCCAGAACACTTCGACACTCTGAGAATATTTTTTATGGGTTTTATTGAAGAAGACAAACCCTGAAAAAGAACTAGCTGATTTAACACAGATAATGTACATAAAACACAGATAACACTTTGCATAACACAGTAAGAAGTCACAATTCACTCGCCAAAGACTCCAAAAACTTACTAGTATCTCACTGACTAGGGTGACATATGAGAGTGACATTGCACATGAAACAATAACTGTTAATGAGGTTTAGCAGCTTATTGACATTTGCTATAGCAGTACTATCTAGAGCAGAAATGTCCTACCTAACCACTGGCCAGTGGGATGAAACTTAAAGTCTCTCAACGTTGGGGCCCTTTAATCAATGAAAGAGCACTCACTCTCTGCATGGGAGAGTATTTGTAATCCAGGGGTAGCAGGATAGCACAGTCTCCTTTAAGCAGAATCTTCCAGTGAACATTGCAATAGAAAAAAACAACACTTCGACAAATCTTTACCATACAGGTGAAATCCTGATATACTGACACTTGCTCAGTATATTCAGAGCAGCAAGCTTCTGTGGGGACTTGGAACTAAACACTCTTCAGCCACAGCACAAGTTTGAGGAGACAATCACCAGTAATATACAGAGACAGAGTTCTCTCATCAATCAGCAGCAGGAATAGCTAATTCTGAGCAGCTTGGGCTTTCCAAGATCTGTGTCACTCTGAGAATTAGAGAGCAGCTTTCTCATGACCATTCTCCAGAGATGAACAGCAAGTGCAGCAATATCAAAATCCCCTTTCATCACAGAGTACTCACTGTTTCTGGATTGTCCTCTAGATAGCATTAGACAGTAGTAGAAATCCTCTCTCTTTCAGCAGCTCCAGACTTTGAGAGACACATGCACTTGAGTGGCTGTAATCCTGAGTGTCAGGCAGGACAATCCTTGGTTTGCACACTGTCCTCCTGCAACAATTTCTCTGCTACACACCCCCAGCCCAGTTTATGGGTTCCAGCAGCACAGAGAGTGAGACTCTGACTTTACACCAGGAGCCCTTGCTCCATGCGGTCCCCTGAAAATGTCTCCTACCCCGCATGTACTTCTTCCTTTTTCCTCTCTCCTTTCCTCCACAGCCAATCATAAGTTCAGCTGCAACAGTGCTGCTATGGGTGGATCCTTCTCAGCTGTAGCAACCACCAATCAGAGCACAGTCCTGCTTTTCCTGTCTGTCACTCACAACAAGGGAAAAGAAAAAAAAATGCTTTGCAACTGCTGTTTAAGATTTAAAGGAACCAGCACATCTCTACATTCAGTTTAGGAATAATTAAGAAATGATTTGCCCCTCTTGTCCTCCTGAGCTATTTTTTTTATGCTCCAAACAGCATTGGCTGAATATCCTTTTAAGAGGCTTTATGTCTATAGAGTATAACTGAGAGCCACCTTTTTGGAAGAATTTCTCCATTATTCTCATGTCACATAAGGGATTCTGATGCTGGTTGGCAACCCAATCACAAACCTTTCATATAAGCTTTAACATGTTGATGTAATTCCTAAAGTAATTTTCAATTTTTTTCTTTAAAGCTATTGTCTAAGTACAAGAGATGTGTATTTTTCTTGTATCTTGGTGTGCTTTGAGTATTTCTTCTAGATTTATCCAGTGTGCAACTTTACCTCTGTGCAGGAGCTTCCTGTAATAAAGACCAGTCACTGCTGCTCTCTCTCCATGTGCAGGGTGACTGGTCTTGTCTCCTCCCCCCTCCTGTAGTTTTTTTGCAGGCAGCTTGTAGTGGGTGGGGCCTGCTCTGTCTCACTCAAAGGCATGATGTCACTGCTACTTTTACAAGGTTATAATTGGCATTGAAAAGGCATTTGGTGAAAACTATGTGGACTGATATCCTTTGTGACTGTTGAGAAAAATATTTAAATGAAACTTTTTGTGCCCAGAGTTCAGCCTTAAATTATCAGTTTTAATTAAAATAATCTATGCTATCCGAGTATGAGTTGTCCATGTTCATACACTTCCTATTATAGGGTGACAACTGATTTCCAGTTGTGCTCTTGTGCTGTCACCCTGTGACATCCGACCCTGGTGGAAACTGCAATTGGGTATGCTGACATACTTTGTGAGGCACAATCCATCGTTGTCACTATCCGAAAGTCAGTCCACAGCAATGATGAGCAGCTGACACTGTAGAAGGCGCATATAGACAGGAAGAGGTTGAAAGAGGTTGGAGGAGACCAGCAGCACTGATAGCCAGGGGCTATCGGCACTAAGGTGGGACAAAGGTGAAAACAGCATTTTATGGGAAAAATATGGCAATTATTTTTTACAAATTCTATTTTTATTGAAAACAACGGAACAGCAGAAGACACATGTCATGTATCCATATAAGCATATGTATATAAAATACAGAGGTAGGCAGCAAACAAAAATGATCCAAACATGGGGATTCGAGGATACTATTCCAGGACAAAATACAAAACAAATCCTTGTACATACAAATGGCAAAAACCCACTGTCCACTGTGGTTTTTAATCAAAAGAAAAAGGAAAGAGGATGGAGCAGCGAGTCAGATAGCACCACAGAGTAAGGAGAGGAGAGAGAGCAGAGAAAGGGAGAAAAAAGGCCGGGGGAGGGGAGGGGGTCACATGGGAACGATTGAAAGGCCAGGAAGGAACAAATCAGTCCTACCCTGTCTCGGGCAATTTCCCCTCATCCGAGTAAACAAACCAGTTCCATAAGGTCCACATTTTAGAGTAAGTTTCCATCCTATGCTGATGTGTAAGCATCAAATCCCCCTATATGGTTCATTTCTTCAACTCTACATAGCCATAGCCCCAGGGAGGGAGGATACAGCTTCTGCCAACACAGAGCAATGCAGGACTTGGCTACATTTAATAGATGACGCACAATCGACCACCTGTAAGCCTTAAGTGCCATATCAGTGACATGGAACAGAAAAAATGCCGGATCCATAGGCACGGGATGGTCCATGAATTTCTGAATGATACAACAAACTTCCTTCCAGTAGTGCCCAAGCCAAGGTTGTGAGGGGCATGGCGTCAGACCCAGTCCTTCTCACCAACTTGTGACCGAAGGACTAGCCAATCTAAAACCACGCTGCCACTTGTGTAACAATGCCACTCTCAGCTGCCCCCTGCACAGAGATTTTCCAGCTCACTGGACCACAATCTATGTGCCAGCTGCCTGAGAGTGATTGTTACTGGGTCAGGTTAATTACGCAAATAACCCTTCACACTGCCACCACCACCTTTTTTTTAGGAGGAAGGAGGAAACTCACAAATCTTAGCAGTAACACTATGATGTTTGAATAAGCGTCTGTGTACACACTGTCACCGCAGGCAGATGTATGCAGAAGTTTAAAACACACAGTAGCAGGGATTCTTAGTTTGCATTAAAGAGCTTTAGAAACAGTTCAACGCTTTTCAGAAAATAGGATTTATTACTAAAAAGGTCAAAATGGTGCAATAAAAATATTTACATAAAAAGATGTAGCCAATATATATATATATATATATATATATATATATATATATATATATATATAAATAAATACAGAGAGCAATAACACACCAGAGAGATAACAGAAGTTTAGAGAGGTAGAATACTTGCCAGAGTCCTTGGTTTAAGCAGATTCAAGTGTCCTGAACAAAAGGGTACCGTTTCTCCCAAAGTTGGTTCCTGATGTTAAAAGAGAGATCTCTTCATCTTACTTCTCCAGGCCTGACAGCCTATTTTCTAGTCCCCCAGCAGGGGGTGTCTACTGAATCCAAGGGCCAACTGCCTCATTTGGGGAGGGGGTTTAGGCGGAGACCCAGGCTGTGACCCAAATCCCTCTGTTTATACCACGGTCAATAATCTTCCATAGGTACATGTAGCATCCT